GCTTTTCTGAGATATATAAAGGCAAATCTCTGTCAATTGACCGGTGTAGTTCAATCAATTGCTGGGACGGAGTTATGACTCGACATTGAGAACTCAGTTTGTTGTTTTGCCGCCCCATTTCTTTCGTATGAATAATAGCCGTAATAGTTTGTGAGGTGGATCTTGCATGGCTCAGGAACAGTAATTGCGAACCTCTAGCTCTCTAGAGGCTTAATTTTTGTGGACAAACCATTCAAAGGCACGAATCTCCATCCCCATATTAATTAGGTTATTGGGGGTGGGACTCATTAACACATCCCTAAAATTAGCTTATGAATAATGATTATTTGAGGGGGCGGGTGGTAACACAAGATCCATTTTATTCCACAAGCAGCCCCAACTAGTTAAATGAGGTTTAAGCCAACAGAGTTAACTAGGGGGCTGCGCAGGGTGGGGCTAGTTATAATTTATACGCCCATTTACATGCTTGCAGTCAGTAATCAGAAAGCTACTGCATAGGTGACTGAGCTAAGAGAAGCTGTTCTCGTTCTCAAATCTTCCTCCCTCCCTCCCTACTACTTCCTCCATTACCTCGAAGTGTAATGTGACATGGATGTGTTACAAACCGTTCAGAGGTATGAATCTCCACCCCCATAATAATTAAGTTATTGGGGTAGGGGCTCGTTAACACAACCCTCAAATTAGCTTATAAATAATAATTATTTGAGTGGGTGGGTAGTAACACAAGATCCATTTTATTACACAAGCAGCACCAGCTAGTTAAGTGCTATATGGTAAAATATTTATACACCACCGGGATAAAGCACTTTAAATGTAGTATATTGATTTATGCATGTATGGTGATGTATAAGCTACTCATAGGTGTAGGAGTATGGGGAGGCCCGGTAGCCTAGCCCCCCCAATAAAATCCTTAACAGCTAGACTTTGCCATTTCGCTTCATTGTAATGTATACTCACGTCTTTAAAGCCATATTCTGTCGAGTTAGTCAAGATAATTAATGAGTTATGTGTTTTCTTTTTTTGCAAACAATATTTAGCTTTTGATTTTTTTTGGCTCCCAAATAGATTTTGACCTTTGTCTTTGGTGCTTTTTTGATCTCTTTTTGTGGCACCTTCAAATTCCTGTTGGTTATTGATGTTTGTCACAGTCTGAGCGGGTGGGCTCCATCATTTTACAAGTTCTGTTTGTAGTTTTCAGCCTAATATTTAAGCCAACTAGTCAGAATGAGTGTGATGCATATAAAGATGACTCAGTTCTCACATGAGACT